TGCAAGGGCAGTCAGTGATGGTCAGAGTGCAAGGCTCAGTGACGACGTAGTCCTTGCCTCCGAGGTGGAAGCTGGTAGGACCAGCGCAGACAGTGGTATAGACATCGTACACACTGGTGATGGTGACGGTGCCGTTCTTGACGCCGGTAGGCTGAGGAGCAGGAGAGACAATGGCGGCCTGGACGGCGGAGAAGCCAGCAAGGGCAACGAGAGCGGCGGTGTTGAATGAGTACATCTTGAGTGACTTGTTTGGTTGTTTTGGGACTTGAAAGAGTGAGTGAGTTCCGGTTGGAATAGCGAATGCAAAGTTTTGTTGGAGTGAAAGACAGTGGTCAAGCGAGTGACTTGGGCGAGGTTTGTTAACGAGTGTGGGTTGCAAAGAACGAGAAAGAGGCTGAGTGCTGAAGAGGAAGAAAAGAGAGTTGATGTGGTTGACGAGGCTGCCTTATATCTGTGAGTTGAAGCCTCAGAGTCAGACACTGGCCAAGAAGAATCAACATGTTTACAATCTCGGCTGGCCCCCCATGCGTCTCCTGTGTCTGGACCTGACTCTCTCAGCTTGCGACAGTCTAGCCGCCACATGAAAGAATGGTAAACAGGCACATCGTCATGCGGCTTCATTCCAGTGCGCAAGGGAGAGGCACAAGGAGATTAGGGCTCCGTAACTAGGGAGTTGTTGAGTGTTGACCTTGGTTACATGATGCAGGGAGGGGATTTTGTGTACACTGTACAGTGAGTGAGATGAGATGTTCTGAGACGTGCTATTTCTGAGAGATTGTTGAGATGTTTTGTTTCTGTGTAATTTTATCATTTCTTTTTATCTGGTTGTGGTTGAGTGTAAGTGGTTTTTGAGTCTTGATAGCGGGTGATATCTTGGCAGCCAATGAAAGGCATGGTAGACAGGATAGTCCTAGTTAGGCAATATCGTGTAAGTGGTGGTTCAAAACTGTCAAAAACATTCAAAGTAAACAAACTAGAGAATAAACAATTCAAACTATAATCTTAATTCTATTTCCAACAAAATCCACATGATTTGCCCAAAAAGAGCAAAAAGAAACGATGGTGCAAGAATCGGTCCATCTGGAAGCCCCGTCTCGTGTCTCTCGTCTCTCTTGAGTTCTCCCTTACTTGGCTCATCTGCCGTTGACCCCCACATACCTCAGACATGACACTAACATAATAAACATTTGTCCAAAAAAGATTAGATTACTACTGTACTTTTTCAGCTTTGGGACAATAACAACATGAAGCCTCTCTTTGATGCAATCTATGGCTACCTAATGAGACAAATACTCTCGGGTCAAGAGTGCCGAGGCATGAACTGAGAACAAGCTTTTCTCTTTAAGATCATAAGCATAACTAACATAAGAGAAAAGAGAGAAAGGAGAAAGGAGAAGGAAGAAAAAGGAAGAAAATCGTAGAGGTCATTGTGTCTTGTAGTTTAATTAAGCATATGCAGTCAACGTCTCTGCCCCTATTATATGCATCTTTATCTCACTAGACTTTGAGTATCTGTAGATCGTGCATGCATGATAAGATTGATCATTGTCAAGACACGGCACATGCAATCGAATCGCGACATATCGCGTGCTCAAGAGATAATTTGAGCAAGTGAAGCAATATCCTTATCAGAAACAAACACAGCATTCTTGGTGTGTCCGAATTATGGCTACACATTCCTCTCAAGTTCTTTAGCCGATATCTCTCTATAGAATGGTCCATTATACAAACTCCTCACCAGCCATACCAATCAATCAATCACAGGCACAGGCACAAATTTATGATTCACAAGATATTGAGATCATGCTTGACTCGAATTCATTTCTTCATCTTTATTCCTCTCGACAAAATCCATCAGAGAGACTGCTCAGATTTCTTTCTTTCTTTCTTTTTTTTTTCTATGTACAATTGTCTTTCAGCGCTGGCCCGCCGTGTAATGTTTGGTAAAATGTACCCGACTCCTTCCAATGCAATGCGTTACTTTCGGTTCCTCGACGTGGCCCCGTTCGTAGCATGAATAAATGAGTAGAGACAAAGTGAGAGAGAGGGAGGCGGAGACGGAGTGAGGTAGAGAAGAAATAGGACCACCCCCCTCCCCTCCCAGAAGTAGAAAGAAAAAAAGAAGAGAATAACACAAACAACAAAGCTAACAAGAACATAGATGCCGTGAGTTTTGGTCGTCGAAAAACGAAAAACAAAAATCATTCTTCGCGCTGTACAAATCAATTAATCGATCGCACACTCAAAGTCCATCCTATATCCATAGTCATGATTCGGAATCTCGGTCTTGGAAACCCAATGCAGCGCTTCTCGATTCAGCCAAGTGAGTACTCGACATAGGTAGGTAGGCAGGCGGTAGTCATCACATTGTTGTGACATGACTTCTACCACAGACCACCAATGCCTCGCTCGGCGACATCAAGACCTCACATCTCCCGACGATGTATCGGCGGCCGACCCAGGCGCGATCTAGTTCCCATAAAGGATTTTTTTCCATCGAGGGTCCATAATCGATGAGAAAAACAGGGACCGAAACTAGGAACCGGCCGAGTAAGATCGGAGGCATCTGAACTTAAACAAGAGACCGTTGTCGGAAAGGCAGAGCCGGGCCGGGAGGCGGAGGGAGAGTTTGTCATAGCATAGCATAGCATAGCCATGGCCCCCATAACGCTAGCCTTGGAACAAGGAAGCCGAAGCGACAAATAAAATACAAAAGGCAAAAAAAAAAAAAAATGTAATAAAATAGCTCGGAAAACCCAAATAACACCGATAATGCTTGGAAGGTATGGCTCTAGGTGGTATCGTTTTGATGGTGGCAAACGCTCGGGTAGCCAAATCTGTCAAACGTCTCTATGCAAATGACTCGTTCGTTTAAAAATGAGGCAGATGATGGATGTGAGAATGCTTGCTTGCTTGCTCGTACTCCAGCGCTGTGAGGAAGGCTTCTTTTTCTGGTCAGGTCATGGCGGCTCACTTCTGGATTAGGCTTTCATTTCCCTTCCTGTCAAGCCTAGCACAGCCAGTAGCTAGCCATTAGCCAAGTGCCAGCCCTTCCTAGTGCAGTCTGAGGTCAGATCCCTTGGAGATCATCACTTTCGGTTTGATCTGCTCTGGCTTCGCTCAGGTCCTCGGCCAACCACGTCAAACTCGTAGTTTCGCAATTGCTGCTCGTACTTGGGGCTGCGGAGGAATTTTGGTACAGAGTCCTATTTTTTTCCCTCTCGTTAGCATCCATCTGTCATTCTGTACATCATCGCTCTGATCGGCATGTCCGAGAACGGAATTAGAGGCTGGAGGGGCGGTTTTTAGTCAAAACTTACACTAGCCATCAGCTTGAACACTGCGTTTTGAGCGTCCTCGAACAACGACGTCACCTCTTGCAGCGTGTCAATCATGGCCACGTCCTGTCCAACGGCCTTGGTCATGCGAGTTGCCAAGTTGTTGCGCAGTTGATGGTCAATGTTGAGTTCGCACGGCGATCCTGGAGCCAGGAAAGCGTTGTAGATACCATATGCCGAGGCCATAATCTCCTTGATTCCGTCCATGGCATTAGTGTTGGGCGACTTTTGAGCCGCCCTTGTGGCAGCCTTGCAGCTACGCACAAACTCGTCAACATCTTGATAGAAGGACAAGTTTTCTTCGCAGTGGGTATCTCGTAGTTGCTCGCGGAAGAGGAGACGTAGCGCGGGGTCGTTGAGGATCTTGTCCAGACGCTGGGTGTTGGAGTCCCTAGTGATGCCGTTTCGCTGAGATGCGGCACCACCTTCGCTCTCCGAAGGTCGGCCCCGAGAGGCAGCACCACTGACAAGATCCTTACCGCGTTGCGACAGTTGGTAAATGGCGTATTTGGTGGGTTGGAACAGGTTGCATCCAGGATTTTGCGACATATAAGCGCGGTCCTGGGCCACGGGCTCCATCAATTCGTACTCAACGAACAGAGTAGCCACCTCAACAGTCTCTCGCTTGTCCACGATGGTTGAGCAGTCCATGAGCCAGTCAGTGGCAGCCTTGCCAGTGAAGGTGTCACGATATGTCTTGCCATTCACCTTGCGCTCGGCAGCCATCTTCACTCCGGTAAGGCCATCTCGGTAGTCATGCAGCGAGTCCGAATCGGCGGCGTTGACGGTAGTCTTGATGTTGCGGCCCTCGGAGCCAGCAAAGCGGCGAAAGATGACCTCGATTGTTCCTTGGTCGTGAAGAAGCTTATCAGTCTGTGGGTCTCGCTCCAACAGCACCAACTGGGTGGAGGCGAGGTTAGCCAATTCCGACACTTGCTTCTGTTGGATGCCGTTTCTAGCGCAGAATCTATCCAGAACAGTGATACCCTTGGGAGTTAATTGCCAAACAGAGCCCTTCATCGTGTAGACCTGCTGATATTTGCCGTCTGCGGATTCGATAAAGCGAGCCTCCAGAAATCGTTGGCAGATAGAGCGGGCCATGTCCTTGGCCATGGAGAAGGTTGTGGTTGTGGTGGTTGTGACGATACGAGAAGGATCCTTGGGATCTGGCATACGGTTGGATTGAGAGAACTTTAGGGAGCCCAGGTTGTTGATTGCATCCTCGGACAGAAACGTGTACTCAACCTTGGTCAATCGGACACGGTGGGCTGAGAGCGGCAGCAAACTGACGACAAGAGTTGAGAAGAGATCCTTGAAATCCTATTTGTGCAACAGTCAGTGGGTGTTCTCTCCTTCTTCTGTTCTTTTTGGGGAACAGGGTTTCAAGAATACGCAATGGCGCAGAGGCTACGCGTGTGCGCGCACGAGGTAAAACGGCGCCTTAAAGGCACACCAAACAAGGTTGGGTAGGACAACAGGGCGTACCTTTGTGAATGGACGGTCATCGTCCGTCATGCGCAACAAGCGCGAAGAAGTCTGATGCATCTTGTTTGCTGTGGAGGACTTGATGGGGGGCGGGAGGTTCGGGTCTGTGGACGTATAAGGCTGGGACGGCGGGTTGTTCGCCTGCAGAGCCTGGGGAGCGACTTTGCTGTCCAGATATGCACCCGAGGAAAGCGATTGGTTTGAGGAACTTCGTAGACGGTGGTACTTGTCCGGGCTGGAGGGTTCCGACGAGGGTGAGGAGCTCGTGAGCAAGGAGAGTCTCGAAAGAGCACCAGAAGACTGTCGAGGTCGAATGGCAGGCTCTGAGATAGCAGCAATGGCGTTTTGTGTGCGGTCAAAAGCTGAAGCGGCCAGGGCAAAGAGGCTTGTCGAAGAACGGTTGTTCAATCTC